GCCCGCGCGGGTTGCCATTAATCTGATGGGGTTTATTAATCAAGAGTTAGCATTATGCATGTTTATGCATGCATGCATGCATTATGTCTAGATCTGTAAGCATGTATGTGCATGTCGACTTGTGGGTAGACTGAGGGATACAGGGATAAACCCATCCAGCCGCGTGTTCGTTCTCGTGGTTTTCTGTCTCTTCCGAAATGCGATCCCCACTATATCCTGCGCCAAGGCCCCCGACTCGGTGACTCTGGGAGCAGGTATCGCTGCGTGTGACCGTGGCCAGCAGTGGCAACTGGCGATCTGCTTTCTTCACGAGCTCTCCGTGCTTCCCGGAAAGAATTTAAAGCATGTGCTATACAGCCAAGACAACCTACTGCCCTCAAGCACCGTTCCTTGAATTCGGCCACTGTGCATTCGCTTCATGCTTGGAGGTCCGCATGTGCAAGGACGTCTCAGACTTTGCAAAGTAAACAAGGCTTTGGTGCTTTCGGCTTTACGCTTTCCGGGTCTAAACTTTTATGTTTTTGAAAAACTGAGAACCGTCAAGTGACGCATGCTTGAACTGAGGCCGCCGACTTTGATTGCAGTCAATTCCGCACTGAGTGCTTGCAGCAGAGGCCACCAGTGGCAAGGTGCATTCCAGCTGTATCTTGGATGCACGAAGTAGATAGAATCCTGTTAGTCCCACTATTTCTTGGTCAATGAGGCACCGGCTTCAAGCCTAGCAGCAAGCAGCGAACACAGCAGAGCGAAAAAACATGTTTCAACTGAGACTGCGCATTGCCGATAATTTTCCCGAATTGGGCCGGCACTTTGGAAGTGCTGCGTCAGATCTTGGCACATTGTGGGGAACATTGTCGGCAGATCCATTTGGTTTCCGCATCTGGCGGACACCGAACCCGGCTTGAAGCTAAGGCTTCGTGAATCTTCCCTTGATCTGGCACTTAAATGCCTAAAGGCACAGCTTCAGATCACACCAAAGATTTTTGACACGGGGGTGGCAAAGCAATACTTATGTTTCCTTCTGAATTATCTTTTTTCATTCAGTACTGTTCCTCTAGCTTTTCCACGGCACTTGAACAGGCCCTTTCTGAAGAAACCCCTCGAGATCTTGGTTTGGATCTTTTAGTAAATCCAGTGACTGCAAATCCTGTCGAAAGAAGCCTGCTGTGTGCTTACCCACTGGCAAATGTGTAAATACAAGGAGTGAAAGCATAGGCCTGTATTTCGACACTTGTTTGACAATGGCAAAGCATTAAGATCAAACCTAGCTCTTAGAACATGTAAACCCTGCATCTCTGTTACGGCCCGTCACTGGTTGGAGGTTGTCTCACATGGAGACATAGAGGTTCCCGAAAGAAGGAGGACGTCGGTAGGGCATCTTTTCAGCAAGTGACTCCTGTGACGCACTAACCTAGTGCACCCGGCCTTTACAACGGACACCCCTCAGACCGCGCATGTAGGTTCCAGCTTCTGCAGAGCCGGTCCTTGCAACCGGAACCCCGGCGACTGTTTATTGTTTGTCAGCTTCAGGGGTTCATGTTCCGGGGGATTGGGACATTGCGCGCTCCATGGCTGTCTTGGATGTCGAGTGCAGGGTACAACATGCCGGATTGTCACAACAGCCGGAACGTTTTGCGGATTAAGTACATGCGAGCCGAGCGAGCGCCAGAAGCAAAACATACAAAATTGCGCCGAGACACACACACACACAAACACACGCAGATTGCCTGACGCAGTAACTTTCCGGAGGACGAAATTTCATTCGGTGCTGCATCCACGGCCTGCATCCGCGGTCGCGAGTGGGCAAAGGCAGATGTTCAGTAATTCCATGTCCATGTGCTTTGGGATAGGGGAGTCTGTCAACACAGACGATAGGACAGATACCCCGGACGGAGCACTGCTGTCATTGATCAGCAGGTCGCTCTGTCCCAGAATTCAACAGACCTAGAACCCAGTGAAGGGCGTTTCAGTCAGCGGTGAGATGTTGAGTGTAGTTACTGTAGTATACTGGCTGTGCTGCTTGTTTGTGGGCCACATCTTGGCCGCATTTGCCTGGCAATGCGGAGACGACAAAACTTTAAAACTTGTTGCCATGAAAAGCAGACGACGACGTAGGAGTAATCCCCAGACAACAAAATGGTCCAGCACTCTTGAGTTTCGTTCACCGGTGAACATATCTAGTTCGTCTAACTCTTGCAGGAGTCTGACCGCTCCAAGAAGGTCCTGAAGAATCCAAGGGCTAACCTAACGGAGAAAACTTTGAGAAGTACAAGACCATACCGTACCCTGTGGGACGCTGTAAGGTTCTGTAGAGACACTGTGACATCCTGTCCTTCACCAGGCCTTGGGGCTGTTAGCTTCGGTGTGGAGGCAGAAGCCGCCTGGCAAAGCGACCTGAGACTGAAAGTCGAAGGTTTGCAGTTGACAGATGTTTACAGCTTGGGTCTAGGAGTCTAGGGTAAGGTTCTTTGTGCAGGGGTGTTCGTTCATTTTGAAGCTGCGTTCGTGTTAGGCCGTGTTGGGGTTCAAGTCGTTTGTGACATATGAGGAGATGCGTGAGGTGCGAGACGCAACTCATGAGAGGAGTTGTGCAATGCCCCGCCTGCACGGTGAATCGAGTTGGCTATCCAGACTGCTGGAGAGGGTTCGCCATCCAGAACATGAGGACAAAGATAAGAGCCAAGAAGCCGAAGGTCATCAGGAGGTCGGTAATTAGTGACACAATAGCGCGCGTCGCCAGCGGAAGGGTTGAAATAGCCAAAATAGGAGAAAGAGTAGAAACATGGGAACCAGGCCGGAGAAGTAACAGCTGCATTGGCGCACATCAACCACCCAATAAAGTACATAAAACACTTGTCATGCTTTGGATTGGAACCGCATGGATTCAGCTGACGGAAGTGAGATTTGTTGAGCAGACATGCTGAGAGCTGAAGCATGTACAGGGCTTATGCAGGGCTTGCACGAAGACGTTTTTCGGATTGATTGTTCAGTTCAACAGTTGAGAGTTGACCAACAACCCCGCCCGGATTCGAATTTAGGGAGGGTTCTTCTCGCGAAGAGTATGCATTTCTCAAGAGGTCTCCTGCTGAATTCATTGAGTGAGCAAGCTCGGTGGGTGCAAGGGGTCGAGTTTGCAGAACTAGGTTAAAGGGCTTCATGAAAATTGCCAAAGCCAAAGCTTGAGCATGTTTGGTGGAGTTACGGAGCTGATGCCAGTCGCTTATAAACCTTGAGGCACCAAAGCCCTCAACGTATTTTTCTGATCCCTGAAAGAGCTTCCCATATAAGATGGACGGACTCATAACCCTACCCTCTAAGGCGCAGGATTCGGATCCGGTGCAGATACATGGGATCCCATGTTTCTATGGGTTTTCTGGCACATGAGTGGATTCATGAAGCCGAGGCCACCCAGCCTGCTGCTCTTCACCTCGGCTTTGCGGGCAGCGCAGCCGCTCGATGAAGCTCAGGAAACTCCGCCATACAGAGTTTAGGTGATACTCCTGCTTCCCCACGAAGACAACGAACACGCGATCTAGTGAGTCTAGTCTTGAACGATTGCCAATCTTGCCACTGCTACGAATGCCAGGGCGGCGACAGCGCTTGTTTTATCAAAGGCGACGCCGAGCCGGCGGTAATTGCAGCGACGACGACAAATCGGTTTACACCCCTGACACGCGTTATTTCATGTTGTTTGCTCATGCTTTCTGCTATTGTCCATATGAAGAGACGGCCATAACGGAGATCCAGGTTGGGAGGCAGATGGCAGCTCGCAGTTGCTTTGCTTGAGGACGGCGGGGCTTTCTGTTGGCCAAGTCGGTCACAACTTCGGTGTGGGTTGGTGAGCTGCCGCAATTTATTCACATAGTGGTAGAGGTCGCAGTCGAGGAATCGTTGTCGGCATGCGGCTTAGGTTTACTACCTTAATGGGTGGCCCTGGGGGTGCTGGTTTCGATACAAACTCAAACAGCAACGCAACCCTAAACCCTTCAGCCCCTATTGTGTTTTCAATCAATGTTCCTGCTAGCATCGATCTCTCTAAATTCGAAACTCCAAGCCCTTATCACCTTCTGCAGGTGCCGCCCCCCCAAACACTCAAACGGCCCTAAGCCTAAACCAAGAATCCTATAAACCGGAATGTGAAACTTGAACTGTGGAGTGATGCAGGGCTTCGGGTTACCCGTTTGGGTTTTACCTATCTTTGCCTATCTCCGAGAACAGGGCTATTGTCTGTGTCTACTTGCTACAACAACAATGCCAGAATTGTCCACATGCTAGCACACACGTTCCCCTGGCATCTTCTAGATCATGTGTGCTGGCCGCAAAATAAACTCTTAACAGCCAAACCCCAAGCCCCTGACCCTGAACCCCGATGGTCAGGGGATGGGGTGGGATACGATATCTACCGATCCACGCAGAAAAAGGTTATCACGTCCTAACTCACGATTTTGAGATTGGCAGTTGGGTGGTGGTGCCCCGATACCGCGATACCCGGTCACCACTTTGAATCTCGTACATGCACACTGCTTCCTGCCATCTCAGCCGCTCGGACCGTCCGGAAGTCCGCCTCGGCCGGTGCTGGTGCTGGTGCTGGTGCTGGTGCTGGTGCTGGTGCTGGTGCTGGTGGTTGTTGCAGCAGTAGTAATAGCAGCAACAGCAGCAGTGGGAGCAGAAGCAGCAGCAACGCAGCCGCAGCCGCAGCCGCAGCAGCAGCAGTAGCAGTCACTGTCGCTGTCGGCAGTCGGAAGTCGGCAGTAGCAGTCGCACTGGCAGTAGCAGCAGCAGCAGCAGCAGCAGCAGGAACAGGACCAGCACTAGTAACCAGTGCCGCACACTCGTACTCGACTAGTACTAATCCGCCCACGACGTTTGCCCACGCGGACGTGCGAACAAACGCTGGGGGACATGGCAGGGTGAGAATCAAAACGCGTCTAGAGTTCAGAGACGCGAAGTAAGTGTAGAAAAGGCTATCCGCGAAAAATCGGAGAATGGTTGCTTTTCTTCATCTCTCTGAGTTGCCAGTACAAAATGCTGACAAAGCCAGCAGTCGCGCCGGTTCTACTTTCGGCAATGTTGGCGTTTTTCACCCTGTGCCTGCGGATTAGACCCGGATGCTTTGCAGTCAAGACGGATCAGATTCACTAGACCGTGGACTTCATCATGCTTGAGACATGAGTGCTCTCCACTCAAAGCAGAACAAACCATGGACATTATTGTGGTTGGGCCATGGATACTTTGAACTGTGAACTCAAAACGGGTTAGACTATGGACGTCATCATGGTGGGGTCATGGATGTTTTCCTCTAACGACGCATTGCATAGACCATGGACGTCATCATGGTTGCCATGAATGCCCGACCCTAGCCCTTAGGCCCAGCTTAGCCCCCCACCCCCGGCCTGCGGGGCCCCCCCCTCCAGCCCCAGCCCGCAGCCACCAGCCCCACCCAGCACCGCGCAAAGCCCAGCTCATTACATCTCAGCTCAGCAGATTGATCGCTGATTTAATGTTTTACAAATTTCAAACTTAAAGAACCAAAATAAAGGTCTTTAGACAATGAAAAAATTTATACCATTCCTCAGCCGCTCCATTCCCATGGCAATCATGTCTTGGGGTTCTTTGGCAGTGACAGTCGAAGGATCTTCGGTTTAGTCAAGACAGGTTTTTGATGCTGAAGGCATGGCATGCTTCGGTTTCAACCCTGACTGTTGCGTTCAACCTCAGTTCAACAAACTTCGTGTCAAAGATGCATGACATTGATGGCTTTGGACATCTAGCCATCTAGCCGTCAAAGAAGTCTCGGGCTACCTGGGTGTCTCTGGACATGACCGATTT